TATGTATCCTCGCCACAAATGTGGCAGAAGTTATCTGCGTTGTTTACACAGTTTCAAGGTATCTTGGCTTCTGAGGGAAAATATCACGCAACTGTTCCTCGGAAATGTTAGGCAATAACACTTTCACAAGCCACCAGATGTAACTGTATGATGCGTGGATCTGACCAGGACAAATGTACCTTGCAATTAAAGAATTACAGCTAGGTAATCGTTAGTCTCAAAGTGAAGATAAATGTATACACTTCCATGTGGTACCATTTTCATTGTTCTACTGTACATTGTGGAGAAGTTACAAGGCATCATGACACCTCCCTCCCCTGTAGGCAAATATTCTCACCTGTATATAAACCTTTTTTTGTGAAATATCTTGAAAACTTTAGCCAACCAACCAGACACCTTTATCACCTGTTTTCTAATTCATATCATCAAAATATGTAAGAATTACCACATTTTATCTCGGAGGTCGATCATTTCCCAAAATTTTAAGTCACCAGAGCAGTGGTCGCCAACCGGTGGTCCGTGAGAAACCAGAAAATTTTGGTGGTCCCCGGGCCCCTCTGATGCCGTGCAGGCTGGGCCGTCAATGAAGCGGCACGGAGGCTCCGGGGCTGCTCCTACACTGACTACACTGAAACAAAAAGTATGAGAATATATCTATATTTAAAAAAAAATTATATTAGTGGTCCGCGGGATTTAAAATTATGATTTTAGTGGTACATGAGGTCTGAAAAGTTGACGACCGCTGCACTAGAGTATATATGGGTGCAAAATAAAAAAAAATCATATGCAGTAAATCTTTCATACACGCATAATTGACAGGGTTTTATTTACTCAAAAATGCTGCAAGCGCAGAAAAACTTCCTGGAGGCTGACAATGCTGACTCTGCTGCCCAAGCACTGCCAGCCTACAGAACTCAGGCCACCCCCTGTCCCTCTCCACATGCATACATTGATTTCATTTTCTCAGCAAAACAATGCTTCTGCCTCGACTCCCAAGAGCCTGCAGCACGCTGTGTAGGGAAAGGGTTCTGGGAGATGTAGTTCTGGTGGGGCATGCTCATAAATCAATATGAACAGACCTAGGGTTCCTTTCCTGTTGCCTCCTTCCAGTAGTTGCCCCGGCAAGAATTTTACAAGCATTATAATAAAGTCACAGGGAGTATTTAAACCTGTTTCTTGCTATAGGAACAAGGTAAAAGAAAAATGAGGGCCGTCTAGCATGCAGAAAATAGCTTTATAAAACATCTTAGTATACGGATATAAAATTAAGTCTCTAGTAGTGTACGGCATTACAATGACTGGGAACAGCCTCTCCCATACAACACTGCTTTGCAAAGGCTTCATTACAGCAAAATATGATTTTGCCAATAAAGCACACATTCTTCTGCTAATGAAAAACATCTTGTTTTCAGATCTCTCTGGCTTGTGGCTGGAAGGAAACAGACACTACAGCACATACTTTCATTCTCAGGTGCTTTAAGTGAAGAATTTAGGCAACTCAGCCAAACTTCCATACGAGAAAATGTTTATGAGCACTTTCAGAACAGTCCTGGCCTATCGTATCAGAAAAGGCTAAACGACTCGGTGACATTCCTGAGATAGATATAAAGGTGGTAATAGGCAGTAATGGTGCACAGAGCACTCTAGAATATCTGTCAGGCTCTCAAGAAGACTAGCCACTTGCTGACACAAGCTATTTATATATAACTGGCATACGATGCAGCAGAGATATTGAATGCACACTCTCCAGGCACCTGTTCTGCACGGTATTTAGGTTGTGAGCAATCGGAAAGCTCCAACACTGTTGGAGAAAGCAGCACATGCACTGCTACCCATCTCCTCCAGGGGGCGCCTGCTCTCCGTGTCATTTCCATCAATGCCCTTCTCCCCTTGACATTTAGAAAACATCTATATCAGTTGTATTGTTGTAAGGCTCCTCACTGCTACAAGAATAAGAGGAGCAATCTGCACAGAGCAGACGTCTCTATGGGGCACCCTGCTATGCTTCCAACTTGCTCTTCTCACACGCCTGCTCTAATTTGTGTAGAAGCATCCATAAATCAGCAAACGTAAATAGAAGAGCCGCAGACTTTCTGCCAAACGTTCCGCAGATATATAGAACAAACGGAGATGTTTCTGCCAGACATAGAAAACACAACTGATAAATGTTAAAGATGCTCAATGAATCCAAAGTAAAACTAACACAAAGCCTATTCTGGAGGTCCTCTCTCAAGCAGCACAGTAGGGTTCCACATATTAAAAGAGGGCAATTTTGGATTTTACCTACAGCACCATCTGTAGGTGAAAACTGGTATTGAAAATCAGCTTATAAACAATATAATTCAGGGGGCTTGTGGTGATTTTACATAAAGGCCATACATAAAGCAATAGCACTAAAATGTTACGCATTGGTTAACGCAAAGTGAATAAAGCAAGTGGCAAAACACTGTATAGAGACGGTTTGTATGAAATCCTTCCAGAGCAAGCCACACATAATTCCTGCCGTTTGTGGATAAGGATATGACAAGCAATCTTGCCATGTTGCTCTTAGGCAGTCAGAGAGGAGCGCTCTTTAGAACTGTAAAACATCAAAGCTGGAAAATAAAAGAGTGCGCTGGCACTGTGCAGCATATCTTCTTTAAAAAGGAAAATTGAAATGAGTACACTCATAAGTCAGATCATTGCTTAAAAAGCATATAGGGGTTGGAAAATATTAATCAGGAACCGCAGCTTAAACCACCAGGATGGGTGTCCAGCTGAAGGGTCCAGTGAATGGAACGCACACACCTCTCTCCCAGTCTTCTGCTTTCTCTCAACAGTCCCCTCACCCACTGCTGTGTAAATGCTGGATACTATTGCTTGGAGGACATGTTTCGGGAAAGCTTTCCCCTCTTAGAGGCTGATGAAGGGGATACGCTTCCCTGAAATGCGTTCTGTGCAAGGATTTGACTTCTGAGTATATGACTTATAATTAGTATATGACTTATAATTTTCTTTATAAAAGGAGATATGCTACACTATGCCATTGCGTTCTTTCTGCTTTAAGAGAAAATAACATTTGTTACAGATCTGAATCAAGGATCCTGGAGATGTACTGATGCATGAGGTAGAAGGTGTTATTGCCTACACATAATGCTCTTCTCTATTTACAGAGTTTGCTGAGATTGGATACTCTGCAGAGATCTGACCTAAGGTGTGGTCATGTGCCGGCAGGCATGTTACAGGTGTTCTTGCTGCAATTTGATCTGGCATTTGACCTGTGTTGGCAGACACAACTTCATTGGCAGAAGGCCGTTCTTAACTTCTGCATGAGCAGAACAAAATGAATTGTATGGAACCCAGTTCTAGTAGTTTCCATTATTTTCAATGTAAAAATATAATTACAATGATCTAATTTTAAACAGGTTTATTTTGATTGCGATCCTTGCATACCATGAAACCATGAACCATTAGCATAGCCAAACCTTGGCTCTGAAGCTGGCCATGGAAAGGAAGAGAGACATATTTGCCTATACGATAAGCAGCACTGTTGGCATTGGTGTAAGTGTTCCCAATGGGCCCTTGGCGCTGCTTCCGTGTTTGAAAACAATTGCCTATCAGCTGGAATAACACACCCCTGCTCATGTTTCTCCTAGACCCTTCAGCTCCTGGTGGAACCTGCTGAAGTTTAAAGAAGGCCACAGACATTTATGCTACAGAGACTAAGGTTCATAAAAATTGCAGTGCTAGTCAATGATAATTCAGAGGCCTATTTATCAAAAGAGGCAAAATGCATGCTTTTTATTTCATCCCAACTCCCACCTGGCATTCTTCCTGCTTCTAGAAGGGCGACATTTGAAGTGTGATGAAAAGGCATAGTGTAGAATGCAGCAGCAAATATTGCAGAGGTGAAGATGATAAAAATGCAGCAGCAAAATACATTTCTTCCAACTAAATGAAGGGTTCCCTTTCCAACTTCCTTCCATTAGAAATAGTAGATTATGCCAGGTTCTGAACAACACAAATTACCAAATACATCTTTTAGGAAAACCTTAAGGTTTGAGAAAAGTTTCTATACAACACACCTTGCAGGGCTGCTGTGACCTCCATGGAGAAGAGTAAAGAAACGGCTCTAAGTCAGGTATGCACACAAGCAGACCAATATGGAGTACCACAAACAAAAACCCCATATGAATGGTAACAATTGGTAGGCCTAGACCAGTGGCAGGTACCTTCCGCACACGAGCTATGGTGAGACCACAAAACCCATGAGGCATTCCAAGAGTAACAGTTACAGACATGATTGCCAGAGTCAGAGGCATGATGGGGCTTTGTAGTTTCACCACAGCTGGAATGCCTACCCCTGGCCTAGACAATGTGATTAAGACTGCTTAAGCAAGGAGCTTCAGAAGTTTTCTTTTCTATTTGTGGCAAGAAAGATTCCTTTTTTTTAAAACTCAAAATCTGACCAAGTAAAGAAGTTTAGGCCAAATCCAGCTGAACTGGCCGAATTTTGAGCTGTGGGTAGCCCTGATGGCACAACTCCATTTTTCAATCGACTTTTGTCAAAGGAGCTGGGCTGAATATTGTCGGCTGGACAGCGACTTCAGCTGCAGTCCCTGTTTGGGTATTCTGACAGTCGGAACCAACCAGGCAGGGGCGAGAGACTACACCATTCATGCTGTTTAGTATGGATGGGGAAATCAAGCATTTTGTATTGTTCATCCAGCCAGCATATGGCCTGCCTAATTATTTAATTGTCCAATTTCATGTTTTGGAGAACGTTCAGTCTGCAACATACGGTCAAACATTTCACTGATAAGTGGCTTTGCAGGACAGTTCAAATCAGAACCATCTAAGACAGGCAGGAAGATGACGTGAAATGTGGAGCTGAGCACACAGATGCAATCCATCGGTCACAGATGTAATCAGGTCGTTACATAATATTAACATAAACTATAAATAAACATTGTAAATTACATCAGGCTTTAATAAATGTGGAGAGAAACAAAACCACTCACCGTCTCTTTGTTGGGCAGCAATTCTTTCCGAATCCTAAAAAAGTTCTTCCCGTATTGCCGCAATCCTTTGATGAACCGTTTCTGTATTGTCAAAGCAGCAAGTTATGTGTTAGGACGTCTTAAGGTTTTAACACAAGAAAACAGTCAGCCTGATAAAGATCGGCCATAGAAGACTGAAGGGTTACGCTTCAAATGGTTAGATTTTTCCTGTGTGCACAGTTGTGAATAGGTCAGTGCACACTCCTAGAAATGAATGTGTACAGACGCAACAGTCAAAAATAACCTAGAGCATATCTATATTCTGGTGCTGAAGGCTGAAGACAATAGACAACAGATCTACTATCAGACGACTGCGACAACACCGCAACCAAAAAAGTTCAAGTCATTTAAAGCATATTAAAAACAAAAATGTAATATACTGCAGGTAACCCGTCCTTAGATGTGGTGGCTGAATTGGTTTTTTTCAGCAAGTACAGAAAACACATGTTGATCTTGCCAGAAATGCATCTGTCATTCTTGAATAAGCGACTAAGTCCCGTCAATCTGCCATGTAATGGAGAGGAACTAAAGGGAGACATGTTTGAGGTCTAGCCTGTGTGACAACCATGGTTCCTTCCACATACAGAAATGAGTGTAGCCAAGAAGGTACAGAAGGAACAAGTAGCATGTTATCTGCAGGATTATTAGGTGAAAATAAAGGGAAAAAGCGTGACAAAAAGAAAACTAATGTAGCCACCTCATCTAAGGATTCCTAAGCTGCAATATATGTATTTTTAGATACACTTTAAAGCAGTATTAAACTCTCAAACTTTTTTACAATAGTGAATACAGATCAAACAAATAAACATTGCAGAGGAACGCATATGCATACATTTTTGTCTAAGCACTTATAATCATGTCCCCAAATAGCTACCTCCAACTTTTACAGCTCGGCTTCCCTGAACTTCCTATCCAGTACAAGGTCACAAGGGAAAGAACAATCTAGAGCAGCTGTCCATCTACTAGCTTGGAGAAGGGAGCAGGGGTTTGGCTTGCCTTGCCGTGCCTGTGTGATTGTGGAGAGACACAGCTTACTAGCACACACAAAGGTGACTCCATAGGACCCTTCAAGGGAAAGGAGCCACCCTAAAACAGAATATCAGGGCCAGTGCTCAGGGGCCAGGTGGTTCTGCAGGAAACTTAAAACTTTTATACATAAAAGGAGCAGCATCCATTAATCAGCATTTTAAATGGTTTAAAAACATTTAACTGTAATATCACTTTAAAGCCCAACTGCTGAGCCTCTGATTGTAGTGCCTGACTTCACAGACACTGTGGTAGCATCTCTGTCCCCCTTCTCGTGGCCAATAACAGAACAGAGCCTGAGGCCTTTTGCTTAGTGACTTTAAAAAAAGTAAAAGTACTTATCTGAAGTCTTACTCAGCTGAGCAAAGTGGTGAGTGGATTCATCTACAAGCACAAGTTGCTGCACATCAAAGCACAGAAAGTATGAACATGACCTAATGGTTTGCACATTTTACGTTGAGTTCTCCCAAGGAAAAGGCTATACTGAGGTGGAGTCATTTGTCCTTGGGTGGCACATAAGTCATAATAGTTCTTGGGGCTTTTACAGCATGGCACAGTCCACACTGAGGCTATTTTCAGACGTAGAACATAAAGCTGCCATCACCTCAGCTCCATCCAAGACTTCTAAAGGCCCTATCATGTTTTATGTGTTGCGGTACTTTATCTGTCTTTTAATTTAGTGATGTGGATATATTCTCCTGAGACCTCGGAGATTTATTCTGCCAGGTGTGACCAAGTGTCCTTATAAACAGGAAACAGCTGCTACCAACTGTTCCTTTTATAGATAAACCGTGTCTTGTAGGGCATGGCTCATCATAAACAACTACCATGTGCCCATTAAAGCCCCCCCCCTCCTAAAGGTGAACAGCATTTTCTATCTGTATTGGAACAACTAATGTGTAAACTAAATAACGTGCAGAACTTATCATCAGGACAATATTCATTTTTCATTTCAAACAGTTGGTACATCTAGACGTACATGTATTGCCTTCTGCCTGCACCTAGAGGCAGTACACATGCATCCTCAACAATTAGAGGTACCATCATATAACAGTAAAGGAGAATGAGTAACTCTGCTTTCAGGGTTGGTAATTACCTATGGCAGTCACGGTTAAGAAGGTGGGGGCCTTTACCACTGGTTCCCATCCACTGACCACAGCCAGTGTATGGTGATCAACTCAAATGGCAAGATTTAGCAGTTATTTGCTGTATTGTAGAATTTTCTCCTCTTCAAAATGCCACTCTGGATATCAACCCAGCTTCCAGTGTCATGAGATCAGCCCTGCTCCCTCTAACTTCCTAAGCTTCATTGTTGTCCTATCAATGTGATGGCCAACCTCACTTTCCAATACTGAACCTTTGGAGGTAGGAGGGGGTGGGGACAGACTCTCGACCCAAAAAGCTGTGTCAATATTTGGGTACCAGGGAGTCCCGGTGCTGCTAAAGTCCACAGATGAACTGACTTTCAACCAACAGAAAATGGCCGTACAACCTCTGGTGGCAGAATTGGTAAGATTTTGACATTTCCAACCAATCGACAATTTTGTAGCAGGTGATAAAGTTGGGGGCTGCTTACATTAGCTGATCTAAACCAGACAACCACAATAACTCAAGAGTGTGTGTCTGCTTTAACACACATTGGAAGAGCTGCTGTTTCTTTGGCCACCACCACCACCACTGACGGCCTTGACAAGATGAAGGAGCGGAGTCTTCCAAATTTTCCACATGTTTGACTGTGGGATGCATGGGAACCTCAAACATCGGGTTCCTACTACAAAATGGGTTCTAATCTATCCCTGTAACTACACCAGGTTAATGTTAGCTGTTTAAATGCAATCTACATATGCCAGAGGTCATCTTCCATCATTCTAGGCGTTTATGGCTGCGTACAGATATTAAAGCTGTGCATAAAATACATGGCAGCATTCTCTTACCACTTCATCTTCCGTCCAGCACTTCTCTATCAGCTTGGGAACTGGCTTCTTCACCAAACGCTGCAGCGCCTTTCCAGCATCGTAGTTGCTTTCGTGTAGCTAAAAATGGAAGAAAAAAAATTCAATTTGTACTATTCTGATACCAACAGACTGAAACGAAGAATCTGATGTCTAATATACAGCAAGTAAAAAAAAGGACACAGAACAAGAATTACAATTTACTGTAAAATGTTACATTTGGTTTACAATGAAGAAATATCTGATGTAACTATTTCAGCTGATACAGACCTAAAACATGATAAAAATACTTTTCCCTGCACTCCTTCCAGTCAATGCAATAGCACCTGTGTTTACCAGAGACCGAAATGATCTACACTCAGAAATGGGTGCGCTCAGCCAGCCAGAGATACAAGTAAACAAATGTAGAAGCACTGATCCCGCAGTCGCCCCGCCCAATAACACTCGTGAATATGAGCTCAATCTTGCACGGCAAACCAGTCATTAATAGACACAAGAACCCCAATCCCGAGTCTTAAGGTCTACTGCCACTTTTCCATTCATACACATACAAAAAATAATATTGACCTATTTGGTTGTTTCTTCTGTGCAGAGTTATACATAAGAGTGTGTGGAGATAATGGAAACTCAGGTACATTAACATACTATGCACCACCCAAACCTTAACATATTTAACCCTTTGTTAGGACAGATGTTCCTACACACCTAGATAACAACTGATCATTCATTCTGCAGCACAGTACAGACAGGGTTATCTATAAAATTTCGCCATCCACCTCATACATTACATAGAAAGGGAGAACCAAACAGAATTATTTAGTCCTGATGTTTTTAGAATAGAGCATCTGAAAAAGTAAACTGCAATTTTTAAGTGTTTTTAAAGTTACGATATGTGAATGGGAACATGTAGGTGGGTGTTATCCCAATTTGGCTGCTAAAGTAGAATTATATTTTAAACTAAAGGGTTTGATGGTTGCCGCCAAACTAGCTGACCAGCCTGAAGTACTCTCATCACAAGGTGTATGGATTGTAGTCCACATACATGATTTCTCTTAGCCTCTGATAACAGGGGTGTGTTTTGGACCCCCCAAAATGCACTGGCTATTCTACTTGAATGTCCCCTGACCAGAGGCGTCCCGAGGCCGGGTATCACCCGGAGCAGATACCGGGTGACACCCCACCGTGACGTCATTGCGCATGCGCGGTCATCTTTTTTTATACCTGCCAGCGACCATCTTGGTGATGGACGCCGGGAGGGAGAGTAGGGGACGTTCACCCAGCGGGATAAGGTACGCCGCCGGGTCCCCTCCCTCTCTCTCCTGCAATTGTCGTGCTCTTGGTCCATGACTGACTTTTCAGAGGGGGCGACACCAAAATGTCTGTCATTTTAGGGGGCGTGGCTTGGACATGGCGGTGTAAGGACACGAGTTTGAGGAGCTCTGCACCCTGACGGTTCTCATAGTGGTACCAGTGACTTTACAGATCCTTTTTTTTGCATGTCGCAGATCCGTGACACCCGGCAGACACCTAGTGAACAAGGTCAACCGGATCTTTTTCGCTTCTTCCTGCGATAGTACTTGCCAGGGACCCGAGTACCAAGGTGTGGTGGATGATACTACTGATGTTATGCTTTTATACGATACACTGATCGTGAGATACCCGCTACGGGTTACATGTAGAGACATTTACTCCCGCCGGGAGTTTTGCTTCATTTCTGTACAGTGATTGTGCCTTAACGTATATGAGGACATGCATGTGATGTCTCAGTTTATTGTAATGTTTTGTGATGGGCGGTTGCCCTACTTTGTTCACTGGAATGTACTTTCTCTCTGATGTACAATAAAGAATTAAAAAAAAAAAAATGTCTCATTTTGGTGTCACCCCTCCAATGGTCTCACTTGGGTGCGGGCCGCACCTACCTTGCGACGCCACTGCCCCTGACCCTAATGGAATTTAGTTGTATCTGGTCTATTTTAATTGGTGTAGCGCTTCTACTCTGACATCTACTGAAGGCACTTTAAGCTAGCAGTGCAGAGAACATTCGGATCATGTGCAAACATGAAGTGACCCAGAAACCTGATCACCATGTTGGAATCTTACTGACCAGATAACAATTAACGCTTTGAAAAAGATGATTAGCCAATTGTCTTGTAGTGTGTGATGTCACATGGAACAGTGATCTGCTCAGGTCAAGTGCAACACTATGGGCAGCTTTATTGCAGCAAACCAACATTTTTCAAGGGTTGTACAAAAAGAAATGAAGAGCAATAGTTACCAATAACCAAAAACTAAATTAACTGCATATAGGATACACCTGACCCATCTTGCCAGGCACAGACAGCTCATTACAGCAGCACATAACCTAGAGAGAACAACAGATTGTGCAAGCAAAGCCTTCCTGATCCGCAGACATAAGCCATCTTCTCCTGCCTCAAATCACCAGCAGACTGGATACATTTCTAACACTTCAGAGCAGCAAGCCGCAGACGTACAGAGCACTCTGACATCCCCTCTGCTCCCCCCTGCTATGCGCACAGCCAAGGTCCAGTTGCCAAAAACAGAGCAGAGAACATGCCTCCTCCATCTCCGGAGTCAGATGACAACTCACGCAAAGAAAGTAAATACCAAAACCCAGGCTTCCTTCAGTCGGCGAATGGATAAACAGCACGCAAAACAAATTCCCTGGAATCCAGCACACTAACGCCTGACAACATCTACAGAGAATTCTCCGTGCATTTATATGTTACAGACAAGTCACTCGACTGCGCATGCAACAAAAGACCAATAACCAACACACATAAAACAACTTTTTTTTCTTTTTTTTTTTACCAGGAAGACGACAATATCAATCAGAAATCTACTCTTGCTGTGTCAATAACAGTCATTGGAAACTTGATTTGTGCTGTATGGTGCACGCCGTCACTGTGCCTGTCACTTCAAAAACATAGACATATATTGTATAGAGCCTTGGTTCTCAACTGGTGGGTTGTGACCCCCCTGTTCAGTGGAACGCTGCATGCTTTACACTAGGTGAGAGGCTCCTCAGCAGTGGCGGAACCACCGGCGCACCAGGGAGACACTCTCAGCGCAGAGATGGGGGACCGCCGGATACTGATGGTTGCAATGGCGATAGAATGCTGACCCAGATCGGGAGCCGCGCTGTGTAATCTGCCACTTCGCACACAGCCGAACGAGTGGGCGGGGACTGGTCAGTAGCGGCAGCGCGCTGTGATTGGCGGAGGGTTGCCATTATTTTCGAATGGCCCCCCAGTGACGTTTCCCGCCGCGTTTCCGCCCGTTCATTTGAACGCGATCGTGGCTAATGAAAAGTTGTGGGTCGTGTTACAAAAAAAGGTACTTGGAGCATGGAGCCGGTTTCCTTTTCAATCAGGAAGCCGGGCAGTGGGTTATGACCCATCTCCCTGATTGGTCAGTAAGTGGGCTTTACTTGTTGCTAGGCAGCCTGGCTTCATGACCAATCAGGAAGCTGGATGGCACCTCATAACTCGCCACCCGGCTTCCTGATTGGTCAGGAAGCCAGGCAGCCTCGGCATGTGAAGCATGTGTTCTTTCGCTAGAACACCGGTTTCACAGGCAATCAGGAAACCGGGCGATGGTTCATGATCCGCCGCCCGACTTCCTGATAATCTGGGCACACGGCACCGGTACTCTGTATCGGCAAGTACCGTAAACAAAACAAAAAATCGGTACTCAATACTAAAAAACTGGTATCGGTGCATCCCTAGATTCTATGAAAATATACTGTATATGTGTTATTTAAATCTGTAATAAAACTAGGACACAAGTTACTAAACGTACACCAAATCAGAGGAAATATTAAGGGAAGGCTGAAACCTATTTTTTCAGCATGCACAAGCAAAGCGTACACACAGTGTGAGAGCAGGTACAGTCATGTAGAAAATGCCATCTGAAGCCAGTGTGATCTGACCATTTCCTTTTCTTCAGTGACACAGCTGGAAGGCTCCTTGGTTTCATAATGAACTCCATTCCTAGTCTCTCACATCTCAACAAGGAGCTGTATTCTAATTTATATCTTCAATTACACTGCATACTCCGTGGATGCCTTCTCCACTTCCTGGCTGAATGGGGGCAGGAGAAGGTGGCTTCAGCAACCTGTGTTTCTGTAATGAGTCATTACGTTCCTATTTCTACACAATACAAAGAGGTTTCAGACCCGCTTAGCTTCAGGGAGACGAGAATGGAACTTTCATATTTCAAGATCGAGCAAATCTGAGGGAATAAATTATCCCTAGACTCCAAAAATTACATTTTGCAAAAGGAGAAAAAACAGGTTTACAGTGCTGCCGGTGATGGCGTTAGCGGATAAGGGAAGCCGCGTGACAGATGGGGTATTAAACCACGGTATTAGTGTCATGCCGAGGGATGGGATGCTCCTCAGCCAACTGGAGACATTATCCTCATCAATGCAGAATGTATGTCAGGTTTCCAGAAAGGATGTTTTATGGTTATACGTTTGTTTTTTTAAATATATGGTCCTATCCTTACATTATGATATAATTCTGCTTTTCCTGTGACTCCATAGATGATCACTTCCAAGCACAGATGTTGAACATTTAAAATCACAGCAGCTCATCTTACAGACCTTTTTCTAGAGAAGCCCTATAAGAGGGACTCCATGCAAAATGGATTTTTACACTGTAGGAGGAATGTGCAAAGGCTTGACCCATCACTGGGACTTTCCTGCTGTCCACAAACCCACCATAGGGAACATCTCATATCAACCCTGCATGGTCATTGACAGATGGGCCGATTGTGGTCACTGACATCAG